CCTTTTTATTAACCTTTCAGGTTTAAAACAAATACAATTTCTAAATCACTGAACTGCAAAAATGGTAAATATTTTGCCCTAAAAATGTTGAAAAAAATGATTTGACCCTTTAAATATGAGCCCAACTGCGCTGCACATGATGGGACTTTCAGCAAAAGGTTCCTCTCATTCTATGGCGCAATTAAAAACCTCTTGAGTAGTTCAGGGCTAATAGCCAACAGAATGAATGTCATCTGAAGGTGGAAAATTCCTTTAAGCTGCCTGGAGGTGCCAACCTCGCCCGCCTACTCTCCGCGCTCTGCATAATTCATGTATGCCACCAAGATGGAAAATAAAATGTGTAATAATTGTGTCTGTTGGAGCACGAGCCGTTGGAGACTGTTAATAAGTAATAGTGTTAGGTGACTTTGGGTTCCTCTAAGTATTCTCTTATGCCGCGTCTTCGGCAGATCAAATGACCTCAACTTCACAGACACATATAGTTCCAAGCTATAAAGAGGGTGATAATTAATGCATCACGACAAATGAAAGGCCTTTCAGACTTGGAACTTCTAAATTAGAAGGGGAACTAAACACCCAAAATAAAGTCATATTAGAAGAAAGCTAAAACCCAAAATTAAAATATTCATATGTAAGACAAGAAGGTAAAATGTGCCGTCCAGCCTTAAAGTGAGCCTGTGCTTTGACCATGCAGGGCAAGGAGACAAGATCACTTAAAGCTGAATTCTAGGCAGATTAAAAAAAATGAATGCAGCTCTAAAAATAATAATACATCATTAAATGCATTTTTTTGAATGGAGGCAGTGTAAGTACCGGAATTTGATCTGGAATCAGCCTTTTGCAGTCTGTACAGCGGGGCTGCAGCGTAAGGGGAAGAAGCAGTACAAGGAGCCAATCAGTTAATGTGCATGCGGAGAGAGAGATGACCCTATCACTAGGGATGCACCGATAACGTTTTTTTTTCTCGCCGATACCGAATATCGATACCGGAAGTCCCATTAACGAAGCCAGGCAGCATGTAAAGACTCGCCACCCTGCTTCCCGATTAGCAGGGAAGCCGCCTCCATGCTTCTCCTCACTAGGTGAGGAGAAGCATGGAGCCGGCTTTCAGGCCAATCAGGAAGCCGGGCGCCATGTAATGATGCGGC